ACCTATTCGAGAAGGTTCGATGTTTGTGCAGCCAGAATCACATACAAACTCCTTGCAACTTTGCAGAAATAGCAACTAAGAAAATGCACTCGATATCGCTCAGCTGTACTGCAGAGCATTCGATTGGTTTTGGTTTGAGAAGACAGCAGCGGAAGCGCGTTTGGATCAATGGAAGCCAAATAGATATTGCAATGCGAAATCAGCCTCGTGCTTGATTTTTCGGTTTGAGCAATTGGCTTTAAAACGGTGCAGCTCTGTAGTTGCTCTGGCAAACGGAACACTGCTCGCCGATACTTGGGTCTGCCATACTGTACATTCGCCCAACCTTATTGTGATTCTAACATTCTGCAGCGGAGATTCACCATCCTATCCTTCAAAGCAAAGCAAGTGATGACAGGAGAATCAGGCATTCGCTTCGAGGGTGGTGGGCGACCTGTACGGCAAGTAGAAATGTGAGAGAAGCAAAGGCCGTCGGAAGGTCGCTACAGGGTCCGCACGATTAAGCGCCCAAGCGAAAGACAGCTCGTCTTTTACCGAACACTCGAGAGCCAGAGGCAGAATCAAAATGGTTTGACCATGCGATATGTCGGTCTTGTCGTAGCGAGCCTTATCGCCGAGCGAGGAAGAGCAAGAGAGGCGAATTGAGACTCGGCTAATCGGAGACAAAGAGCCTGCTGGTGCTCCAGTGCTTCAAGCTCGGAACACAATTCTGCTTGTCGTTTCAGCGATACCATTCCGCCATTCGCATTTCCCCCCGGTTCGCTCCAAGTATCGCGCGCCTAGCATTAGATTAGCCGTTTGAAACATCTGCATATGTGACCAGTCTTTTGGGGCAGCTTTAGCAAAGAGGAAAGCTGGATGGACTGTAATTCGATCGAGGCAGACACGCGATGCAAGCCCGTGAAGCTCAGCCAACGTCTACATAGAAAGATGTCAAGAGTAAGAAAAGCAAGGTCTTCAGTTGAAAAAACAAAATAAAATAAAACCGGTGCTTTCAGTTGAGCGATGCGAGAGGAGCCGAAGCAGTCAAACGTTGCCACGAACAAATGAAACCCTGGGGAAGTTGGACTTTTTTTTTCTTTGGTGGACTGCGATTTAGCCGATCCATGGGCCAAATTGGATGAGAGAGGCAGCATTACGGGCTTCTTTCCTAGCATGAAACACATCAATCAACTCGATTCGCGGCTATACAGTATCCATTTCTCGCCACGGTCTGACAACCACGCTCAGGTAAGCTGATACTGGGCGAGTTCTGCCAGATTCAAGCTCACTGCTTTTTTCACACCGTTGTTACACTTTATGAGCCACCAACGGATTTGAACTCATAGCGACGAATCATGGTTGACAACCAATTAGTCTTAGATAGGAAAAGCGACAACCGTTTAGGCTTTGACGGGTGATGGACGTCATGATGATGTTGGAAGGGCAAAGTACTGGTCAAGTGCAAGAGCTAAAGTGAGGGGAAAGCCTGCCGCGACAACAGTGGAAAACCTTCTTTTCCCCACATTCGCCTTTGCGATGAAAGCAAGAGGCATTGGCGTCAACCTCTCGATTGTCTTTTCCAATTTCGCAGGGGAGAGGTGCTCTAGTTCCGCAGAGAGAGTATAGTCAGGAAGCACTGCGCGTGATTCCGGGGGTAAATGCACCGAAAGGGTATCAGAAAGCTTCGCAAACATGGTGTTTTGGTATCCAAGAGAGGCCCAACACGCCATGTCTCTGCCAACCCTTCGCAAGCGAGCCTATCTCGAAACAGGGACATCGAGGCAAAATGGCTGTTCGCCCTAACTATCTGCTCGACCGTCTGCGCTGTACAGCACGGAAAATGTTGCCCCGACGTGCTGTTCGATTGCCGTAATATAGCCGCCGGATGCTGATATAGGAGCAGCTAGGCATGAAAATATTTATGACCACGCATACAGATCTGATCGCACAACGCCATCATGTTGCGTGCGTCAAAGCCAGACATACTGAGAGAGGCTTTGTGGAAGGTCACAAAGAGCTTCTACGATACACTACATGCTCGGCAGACATGAATCCGAATTGGATGCAATCAAAAGACGTTGTCTTGAACCGGGCGCAGATGGTACATTAGCTTGTTTTTCGAATGCAAACCTGGGAAACGCATCCAGAATAAATTGTCAAATTAGGCAATTTTCCATTGACCGAGAAGCACTTTTCTCCATGTCGAAGCGAATCAACAAGACAGGTGGCAGCGCCCATTCAAAATCTTCGGGTTCTGCAAGTTATACAGTAATGGCAGTTTGTTCTCTGTGCATCCAATATCGCCACCACAGAGAAGCAGACTTGTTGACAGTTTCTCTCCGCGGCTGCGCGCCTTCGATTGCAAAAAGAAAAACGTGAATAGAGCTGCAGCCAAAGACGGTCTAAGCTCGACACAAGTATGAACTCCGACACGTCCAGAAAGCTATGCAGCTTCAAACAAGCTGTTGCCGCAACTATCTCGTCATTAGCAGAATCTTTCTCTCCGGCTTGATTCCCTCCGAATGCGAACAAGGTTCAAAGCCAGCGGCATCAGAAGCCCGACTTAACTGTTGCATGATCACGATACTTTCTCGCATTGTTCATTGGACCCTTCGTACCGGCAATAGGGACTGCATCGTTGAGGTTTGAGTCTTTTTCATGTCCAATTATGTCGTGATCTGCAAAGACGCTCACTCTTTCTCTGCACTGCAAATGTGTTTGACTCAGCACTACGAATGCGAACGCAGCTCGTCGAGCTGTCGTCAGAATCGCCGTCCGCCATGCGCAGAGCACAGCAAGACTTTGACACCTCCACACACGACCACAGCTGAGCACGACGAGCATGCTTGGTTATCCTACCCTTCTTGAGCGCGACATTGGACGTTTCCTCCGCCGACGGCAGCGGCAGGCGGCACAGCACTGCCGCTGTCCAACCCTCGGATGTCCATTTTTCTTGAAGGAGGGTAACCGAGGCAAGCCAATTCGCTTGTGACTCTCTCTCGAGACCCTACCCTCGCTATTGCCTGCTGACCATCCTTTGTGCATTTCTTCTTGCTATCGCCTGCGGTACACTGACAGTGACAAGACACCACGCCGGCTTCGATTCAGCAGTTTTCAGACCTCGGTGCGCAGACTTCCGAAGCCTGATCGGGTCTGACTTCCACCTTGAGCTATTCCTGTCCCTTGTTCAAGAGGCTCCAGCGTCATGCTGAAGCTTTCTTCGTGGACTAGCGCTGCCAATCACTACTACTGGACTAGTTATCTGAGACACTCCTGACGCTACCATCCTTTGCAGACATGACAGCAACAAGTATAAAGACCACGTCAAGTCGTGCTTTCTTCATCCAATTCCCCTCATCCACATCCCCACCCATCTCTCCTTCCCTTTAAACTCTTCTCCTAGAACTCCAAAATGCAGCTCAAGCTCTCCTTCGTTGCCGGTCTCATCGCCGCCTCGGCGCTCGCCACCGCCGCCCCCCTTGAGCACCAGGAGCGCGGTATCAACATTGACATTGAGAAGCGTGCCAACCTCAAGGTCGCAGGCACTGAACAGATCGACTGGGCCAAGGTCGATGCTCACATGAACAGCCTCCGCGCCAAGTACCAGAAGTCGCTGGCCAACTTCGAGAAGAATACCGGCAAAGTCCACCCTTCCAAGCGTGATCTCCCCGAGCACCTCGTCAAGCGCGCAACCGGCACTGTAGGCCTCACTGATCAGCAAGGTGGCGAGCTCTGGACTGGTACCATGGCTTACGGCACTCCCGCTCAGAGCTTCCAGATCGACTTTGACACTGGTTCCTCCGACACCCTCGTCAACAACGGTGTTTTCAAACCTTCTGCTTCCTCCACTTCCAAGACCAACGGTGATACTTTCCAAACTTCTTACGGTGACGGCACCACTGCTCAGGGTACCATCTACACCGACGTTGTCCATATCGCCGGTATCTCTGCTTCAGGTACTGCCATCGGTGTTGCTAATGGCCAGTTCCTTGACTCCAGTCAAGGTGCTTCCGGTATCTCTGGTATGGCCTTGCCTCAGCTCGCTGCTTTCGGGTCCAGTTACCTCCCGTACTTCTACAGCTTGAAGCAGGCCGGTGCCGTCACTTCGGGCAAGTTCCAGTTCGATCTCCGAACCTCGGGATCTTCGCTTTTCCTCGGTGGCACCAACTCTGCCAAATACTCGACCACCCCAGCCTACGTCAGCGTTGACTCCGATCAGGGCTTCTGGCAGGTTCCCGCTTCCGTCAACGGACAGAGCATTCAGTCCATCGTTGACACTGGTACAACCATCATTGTCGCCCCTACTTCTCAGGCTCAGACCCTCTTTACTTCGCTCGGCTTGTCCACCTTCCAGCAGAGCGGCTCCACCTACGCTTACTACAACTGCAACAGTCCCCCCAAGATCACCTTCAAGTATGGCAGCTACTCCAAGACTCTCTCTGCTGCCACTACTTCGTTCGGTACCACCACCAGCGGCCAGTGTGTTCTCTCCGTTGCCGGTAGTGACCTTGGCATCAACGCTTGGGTCACTGGTGATTCGTGGCTCCAAAACACCGTCGCCATCTTTGACACTGACAACAACCGTGTTGGTTTCGCCAACAAGGCTTAAAAAATAGCCTCTTCAGCGAAAAAAGATGGAAAACATAAATAGATAGAATGTGACGGTCTCCCAAACAAGTTTTAAGCTATACACTATCGAATTCAACACACAGGCTCGCACATGTCTGCTCGAAGCCTAACGTATGTTTTTCGATTACGACATTATCTTTTTACAATAAGACACGAATCAATATAGATGATGATACCTTCCATTCTCGCTCTGTCTGTTGATTTATGATTACTGGTCAACGCTTTTGTCCTCATCGAGAGGAGGGGGGCAGATTTGGCTGTACTCACCGTCTGACTTTGTGTGAATGTACTGTAGATTTGCATTACAGCGCAGCGTAAACTTTCAGGCTTCTGCTTTAATCAACCGCTAGGTCTTCTTATAAGTTAATTTGAAGGGATTGAACATATAGGTATTGATAGTGTAGGGGTATCATGAGTCGTTGCCACTCATCGCCTATTGAAGGTGATAAACCGATTCGACTCGACCGGGGTTCGAGTCCCCGTCAATGCATTTTTTGCACGTTTTTTTACCCCTCATTCACAATCGCAATTCATCAACTGTTTCTTTTGCTGAGCAGATTTGAGCTGGTAAGGGCCATACTGCGAACATAAAATGGCATCAAATCTTCTGTAGAATCTCTCCTCTTGGACGTTCCGATGCTTGTAAGCAGATCCTCTCTTTTAGGATGGTCTTATCGAACGCAAGATAGGATGCTCCGCCTTGATTGGCATGTACCGTCAAGGCCTTGGTCATTTGTGGTCAAGGGTCACCCGATACTCTCCACGCTGGTCACGGCTTAAGTGTAAAATTTTGAAATGGTGATCGCTTTGCAAGCTTCACAACAGGCGGCGTCACCAATTACTTGGTCAGCAGGGAAAACCGTGGAACGAATGTCTGCTCTGATGTTCTGAATGTGCTGAAGCACTAGCCCAAAGGGGTTTGTTTGCCAGCGGCAGCATTAGCGACGAAAACACCCCGCTGTCACTGCACATTCAAGTTTTGCAGAATGAGTAGTGACAGCAAGAGTCAGAGGACCCCATTTCTGAGGCAGAAATGCTTCGACGCTCAATCTGTCCAAGCGAGTCGATGGCGCAGAGTGTGAATGCAATTCTTGACGGACCCTGAAAATCGCTTTTCTTTTCCCCAACTTTTTTCAGGATTCCACCACAGCCGAATTAATAGGTTTTTCAAAACAGAAGTGCTGACTGTGAGTCAAAATCAGGAACACCCGACAATGCAGCAGCAGATCAGAAAAAGAATTTAAGCAGAATTTGGCTACTCGGGACAGTTCCGTTTGTCCCATAGTGCAGCTGGTGTGCACGAGCGGTTCGACTAATCTATTGCCCTCCGCTCACAGTTGACCATGTAAGCCGCTTCATCTTGTGTTCTCGACTTTTGTTGCTGCAGGCATGCGAAAGTGCATACCAAGAAACGATCCTATGTCACGATTGCTGTAAAGCTGTGATAGTCGTTAAATTGCTTGCGATGGAGGTGGATATGGAATATGGAGGAGGTGATAAAGCTGGAAAAACAGATCAACACTTTCATGCTTTGCTTTCCGAGACCGGAGATTTAGCTCAGCGTGTTCATAGTGATTCTCCTTTCCGGCAGTTGCTAAAGGAATGTGAACGGGGAGTGACGGGGACATTCTCAACCCACTCTTCAATGTACCTTCCTCTAAAGCGACGGCGGGCTTCTAATGATCATCGTTACTATCTGTGTGACTCTTGTTCAAAGGGCAGGCGTCCGTCGCTGACAAGTCCGACAAAGAACGCGAATCGGATGATTTGCCTTGAGCAGCTTTCATAGAATCGGTCCATCCGCATCCACTCTTCCGTTTTTTCACCTCGAAATGTCTCCAGGGTAGTCTTGGCAAGGCTCGAGTGAATATAAAGAGATCTCATCACATTGGTCCGACCACTCGCCTCTCTGCTGCCTCTGTTCGGGGACATTTGCTGTCGGCTCTTTTGGCTCTTGACCATTATCACCATTAATAGCATCATCACGTTCGCCACGTCGACCACAATTGCAACTAGTGTGCAAAGGGTCTAGCCACGATGGTGAAACTCGCCTTCACCATGCTAGGGCCAAGCATCCTAGCTGTTCTTCTCATGTCCTACTTCACCCTTGGCACCGATGCACTCGAACTCTCTGTCAACTTCGTCGACTGCACTGAGCTCAACTGGACTGCCTCGCTCTCTCAAACTGAATGGAGTGTGGCATCGTACGTTGAGCTTTTCTTCGTATCCACCCAACGTGCTTCCAACTACTCTTCTCTCTACTCTGCACTCAATGACGGAGCGTTCCCAACTCCCGGCGCATTTACCATAGTCACGTACTTTGGAGATATTGCTTTAGGCGGGCAGTATACGATCGGGATCGGTCTGGCTGGTATGAATGGAAACATTCTCACAATGACTAGCGACAACTCACAAGGGACCGTCCAGGTGACAGAAGTCGACTCGAGGAAGTTTACCTTTGGTGACTGTACCAACATTCCTTCTTCTACATCCGCTACGATCGCTGCCAGTTCAACATCTGATGGTCTTGCGTTTAGCACCGCTTCTAGCGCATCACTGACTTTGACTTCTTCAGCAGCCACTTTCGCATTGCTATCAGCTTCAGCTTCAGCAACCGCTACTGCAGCCTCTTCAGCGCCACCTATCGGCTCGCTTTCCTCAACATCACTATTTCCTCCGACCCACAATAGCGTCAATAAGGGAATCATAATCGGAGGAATAATCGGCGGTCTGGTTTTTCTTCTTTTCGCTTTCGTCCTCATCCGCTGGTGCTCTTCGCGTCGCAGAACTCGGCGACTTAGTCAAGCTGCTCATCCCATGTTGTCTCTCCGATCGCCGTCCTTCCCGAGGAAACAGGCAAGGCCGCCAGAAAAAAATGGAAATGGCTCTGTTTCGCCGGACAGCCACCTCAGGCGAAAGGCAGCAAAGGTGTACGCCCAGGGCGGGGGCACGTACGAAGTTGCCACGCTCGGTAGACTCAGCGTCGAATCCGGAAGACGATCAGAAGGCTACACTACGAGGTCTGACAGGCCAAATGCCCATGAAGATGAGCTGTCACTTAGCAACATGCTTGCGGAAGGGCCAAGCGAACAAAAGTTAAAGGTCATCAAGGTTCCTTTCCATCTCACGCCAGGTAAAGCAGCAACACCGGCGCACGAATCGATGACCATCGATTCGAGCGTATTCTCTGCCACACCATACCTTCCACTCGACCGCACATCTGACCACCATTCTCGCTCACTGTCCACCGACGGTAAGGTTCCTAGCTACCCTAGCGGCAAGAATGCCTCGCACTTTCGATCAAAGTCTTCACATCTTGTTTTAAATATGACGGTTCCAGGTGGGATTCTGCAAATGTCGCCGACAGGGAGTAATGTTCCTCCTCAGCGAACCATGAGGTCTTCGAACTCGAACAGCAACTTCAAGATTCCTCGAGTGACCGTACCTGCCTACCTTCCTGGCGCAGGAGAAATTGGTACAGCCGGGAAGGGGAGATAGGACTGTATGAAAGCGTTTCAAGGCAAATATCAAGAAGCAGCAGTAAGAAGAGGATGAGTGCGGGCAGGGCTACCTTTGTGAGTGTAGATGAGGATGCTTATGTTGACGCTAATCAGGAGCCTCAGCTACAGTCACAGCATCAGGAAAAAGGCTAAGACGAGTTGACGCGCTTGTGAGAGCCTAGCATGCGAGATACTGTGATTGCTCAATATCCGCGGTAGTCGCATTAAAGTACATTGCAATCGGACCTTTATTTGTATAGTCTCGTCACAGCATAAATTATATGAATTGTCGCATCGGGGGTTTTTTTTTTTTTTTTTTTTTTTTTTTTTTTTTTTTTTAATTTATTAGCTCTGGCCTAACCTGAGCGAGGCACTGGGGTTTGTTGAATGATGCTGTGCTGTAGCCGTTGGTAGGACACCCGTACTAGTTGTGACAACGGTAAAGACTGTAATGTCTTGTGTGTGATACTAAACAAACAAGTGAGCTAGGTACAATCGAAGTTAAGACAGGCTGAGCAGGGTCTCCTCGACCCCTATATCGGTGACATACGTTGTAGCTTCGAGCCGATACGGGGCCCGAGCTCCAACAGGGTTCAGATTCTATTGGCTTATGCTCTGTGTCAACACAACTACATTCAGAGTGTTTTGGCTTTTCTTGACCAAAATCAAATTCGCTCAGCGTTGGAAGCCATGGGCGGAGTCATTGGCTCGATCACCGAAGAGCATCCCCAAAGCGACTTCCAGTTGCCTATATTTCGACCGAGAACGTTTCAGACTTCAAAACACAGAGACATCAGAGACCAAGGACAAGCTCAAAAGTATGTCCGAAAATGCATAGTTGGAATTCGTATTATCGCTTGACACACAATGCTCCCCTTTTTCTCGATTCATATCGCTCGACAAGCATCAAAGCACCGAGCCAAGGATAACAAATGATGTATCGATGAATGCAGGGAGAGCTTGTCTGGTATCAATGGATTCTGCCAGACCGTGCAAGTCTCCAAAACTATAGAGGCATTCCGCGAGTATATTGAGTGGCTGTGCCTTACGGATGCAGCATTTGTGCAGGCTCATGTTTTCATAGTCGACGCAACAACAAAGGCATATGCAGGTCCCAAGATATGCGACTCATTCTGTACTGTATTTCACAACAACGACGAAGCAAATTTTGGTGCAGATGCCAACAAAACATACAAGCATCGCTCCACGCAAACGACACCACAGTGAAAGGATCAGATCTCCTCGTCCGAATTCCGTTAGTTGACGGACAAATGGAATCAGAACTGCAAAAGAGGCAAAAGTAATACATGTATTTCTTGAGATGGTATGTGAGAAGATATCGCAGATCAAGAACGAGAACAAAGGGACAATATAGAGATGACAAGTCGACACAAAGACAGCTCACTTCTTGGTATGGCCGTCAGAGGAACTAACATCGTCGGTAGTGTTGATCAGATCATCGTTTCCGCCCTTATTCTGAGCGCCAACAGACCCTTCTCTGTTTAAAATTGCTAAAGTCTCGGCAGTCCTAGTCTCGCTCTGAGCAACGTTTCCCTCAGTAGCGCCTACCTCAGCAAGCAGTCCGGCGTGGAACACCTTCCTCTTCTTAGGCGACAGGTCTTGCACTGACCTTGCCAGGATGTTGCCTTCGAACACCCTGTGCATGAGCTCCAAAGTGATTCCACTTGATTCCGGTAAGCAGAACGCAGCCCAGAGAACCGCGACGCTGGTGACGACACCAAAGAGGATAAACGTGCCGTACTTGATGTGTTCGAGGGCACGAGGGGTGATGAGGGCAATGACGAAATTAAAGAACCATTGCGACATGGTTGCAGCAGACATGGCGAGAGCACGCAGTTGGTTTGGCGCAACCTCAGCGCTGACCGCCCAGGTGACTGAGGACCACCCAAGACCATACCCCACCACGAAAATATAGACCATTGCGATGGTCAAATAACCGACACCATCGACAGGGCCGCCGGTCGGACGC